ATATTACTCTAGAATGTTCTCTTTCCAGATGATGATTAAGAGGCTAATAGAAAAAATGGTGCCAGGTACCACAACAGCAACAGAACTTTGCTGTTTTCTAGATATTATTCTTTTCTTTGTTTTGTTTTTTTTTAATGAAATGTGCTGAATGTCTATAATTTTGTTCAGATGACTGTAGAAGCTGGAAAAGCTGTTTCTGCTATTGATGCATAACATACTATTATTAGTCTTTTTATATAAATATATATATATATGCATATATATATAAATTGAATTTGGGGAAACTTTAACAGTGCTGCCAACTTTGGAAAAAGTCATCCCAATTTACTGTGTTGACTTGGCATTGTACAGAAATGGGCAAGTATATTGGTCTAGAAATGTTCATTTATTTTTATTTATTTTTTTTCCATGTGTACAGGGGACTAAATATGTAAGGTCATATCTACGTGGGTTTGATTACAGGAACTAATAAAGTATTCTCTAAATAATGAAAAAAAGAATAAGATAAGACTATAAGAGCGAGAAGCAATTTAAATATGTTCAGGGACCATTTTCATCTCCAGAATTAAGGATTATTTTAATGTTACATCATTGCCTTTTCTGTTTTACTTTCCTTTTTAGTTTTATTTTAGGATTCCCTATCTTTAATGTTCATACAGGGATTTCTTTAACTGAAATACCAAATAGTTTCTTTGGTGTGAAAAACTATAATAGTACACAGGATCCTAATGAGATAATTAATAATGTGAAATAGGAAGTAAAGGGCTAAAGGTGTAGGGAAAGTGGGAAAGGTGGGGGAAAGGTAATAAGGGAGAGGAAAAAATATGAGAAACTGAAAAAATGGAAATAAAGTGTTTGTAAATGGGGAGGGGAGGAGGGGGTGAAGGGAGGGCAGGGACAAGGGGAAAAAATGAGAATCAAGACCTATTATGTAAAGGTACAGAATCCCAATGATGAATGTAATTGTATTGTATACCTAGATTGTACCAATAAACTCAATAAAAAGAAAAAAAATGACAAAAAGGAAGTGCTTAGCACATGTAATAACCTGATAAATTGTCACTGTTATCACCAGTAGGACTCGTGTTATGTTCTTTAAGGGGCGCAGCATTCCTGGAGGTCCTGCAATGCCGGGTCTATGTGTGGAGTGGACAGAGCAAGCTCCTATTCCATCTCCTGCTCCAAAAGGCCATTTAATATGTTGTCCTTGAATAGAAAATGTACCAGAGGCTAAACCAGCAGTAGATGCTACTCTTGATCTTGGCCAAAAGGCAGAGAAGCTACACAGATGGGACTTCCAGTGTTTGCAGGAAAGGCCTGCAGTTCAGTGTGAGAACTTCCTTTCTGCAAGAGCTTGGCCAGCTCTGAGGCAGGCGACAAGTTTCATCCTCTCACCCAGCACCACACCACTTTAAGAAGCATTCATCACCTGCTTCCTCACTGGCATTGCCAGCACTTTCGTAGGAGTGAAGATTTTCTGGGCTAGATCTTGAGGAAAATTCCTGTCCACAGGCCTTCCTCCTGACCCGAAACAAAGACTTGCCATACAACAAACCCTTCTGATGTGGTTTTGTCTTATGCTTTTGTTCCTCAGTGATTAGACCAGCATCTCAGGAAGATGGGGAGAACAGAAGAGAGATGGATGTTGCTCAGAATTCTAACCTCTATTGTGTGTCTTTCAAAATATTTTGATTATGGTTCCAGAATGGAATCCCACCTTCTCCAGCTTCTGAGGAATTCCCCTCAGCCAGCTAGTGTGATTCAACCTTCTATTGTTTTGTTAAATATATCTGTGAACTATCACTGACACATTTCTTTCCTTCTTTTCTTTCAAGATTCATCTTGAGAGATGTTCTGCGTTGGCAAGTCTCTACACCATAATCAACTGCTGTGATCAGTAATGACAGCGTTAAGCTGAGGAGGTCCCACTGATTTGTACTTCTGTGAGCTAGCATGCGGAAAGCACACAACACCTCCATTGTACCAGTCAAGTTTACAGTATATTGTATCTATCTGATATTTATAAATGTAGGGCACATGTCAGTCCTCTGGTGAGTCGGTGGAATTTACAGTCTTCCTGTCTGCAGCACCACACTGGAACATAAGTCCCCAGAAGTTTACTGAAATAGTCACATATGGTCAAATATTACACATACATTTGGCATCTTGATATATTAGGGTCACAGTGCATTTTCACTCAGACAGTTGGCATCTGGCTTGAATGCTGAAAAGTATGGAAGGAAGCAGAGATGCCAATAGGAAATCAAAAGAAATGAGGAGCTTGGAGAATGGTCTTCTCCCAACAAAAAGCAGCATGGAAATGTTGAAGCCTCATCAGATGATCAGCTGTCCAGCACTGAAAACTCAGTGTGCCTTCAGGGTACTTTTACTTAAAATTAATTCAGAATGTTGTTTCCTTAACATAAATGAAAAAGACCTGAATGGCAGAGTTGGTTTATTTTGAGAATCGAAGGCTTTAGAGGGAGGATGTGGTAGGAAAAGCTTTCGTTCCATCTCTGTAAGTTACCAGCTGTTTATCCTCAGGCAAGCTGCATAACCTTTCTGCACATTGTTTTGTTCATCTATAAAATGGGAGCAGATACATTTGCTGCTTTACTGCATTCGGCACGGAGGATTCCAGAATAAGATAATGTCATTATATAGTCTTATAAAATACAAACTATTGTCAGCTTCATTGATCCATTTCATAAGTGTAGTACAGATTATCACCAATTTCAAAACCATGGTTATCAACTGCAGTGAATCTTTCTGTCTGCCTAAGAGCACATCTTCTGGAAACTCTTTTCACTAAATCTGTCCTGTTCCAGACCAAAGTTCATCAGTAAAGTAGAAGCCACTATATTAGCTTAGCATGAGCCTGGCCTGGCTACAGATGATTGGGACAATATATTTCTGTTCTCAGGACATGCGTTGTGCTGTTATGATTTGCATCTGAATGTCCCGCTACAGCCTCATGAGCTCATACACGGGTTTGGGGAGATGACTGGATCATGGGGATGTGATACTTATCACTGGACTGTCCACTGATGAGAGTATACCCAAATGTGATGTTGGGAGGGCAAGCCTTTTTGGAGGGGATGGGTCACTAGGGAAGTGGCCTGGAAGGGTCTGTCTCCTCCTCCCTTGATTCCTCTCTGCTTCTTGGTGCCATGCTGTGGGCTGTTTCTCCTCTGGAATCCTCTCTGCCATGTCTCCCTGCCTTGGAGCCAGCCTACTATGGTCTGAAACCTCTACAAAATGCAAGCCAAAATAAACCTTGGCTCCTTAAGCATTATGGGTGTTGGGTACTGTGACCCAATATTGAGAGGGTAACTAAGACATGTACAACAGAACCACACAGAAAAGTCCATGAAACACATTTTCTTGCTCAAGCTTATTCAAGTTGAGTTTCTATCACCTGCATCAAAGATTTCTAAAATAACAGTAAGCTGAGAATGAAATGAACTGGAGAGAACGGCGTCATCTTTGAACAGAAAGCTGAAAGGAAATAAGAGTGCCTCAGTGAAAATGCTTTGGAGCTGTTAAACTCTCGGCATTGTGACCACCGCACAGCAGCAAGTACAGCACAATCCTGGAGCGTGCTTTGATGTGCGTGTATAAAACAGGATTGGTTTGAAATGCTCACCTCACGAGATGCAAATAAGATCCAGTCTCTCATTTCACAAAACATAAACAAAGCCAACTCGAGAGTCTCCTTCCTGACTGGGTCCTCCGCTGCGTCATGAGAACGGTGGGAGGCATGGGTCAGCCCAAGAAGGGGACGTCCTGACTCTTACCCAGAAGCCTGCAAACAGCTCCAGGCACAGCTCAGATTCCCTGCCCGACACCCTCCGCCCAGCCTGGCTTGTGCCCGAGCCCAGCTCCTCCGGCCCCTTTGCCACCTCGCTCTTTCCAGTCCCAGAGTCCACCTCAGGAGCCTTCCCGTTTTTCCTTTTTGAACTCTGGGGTTAAAACAACACCCAGAACGGCTTCTTGCGCTGCTCTTCTCTCAACTGCTTGGTACTGGCCTCCCCACTGAGCCCTGGGATAAGCGCAGAAGGGGGCGGACTTGCAGGGCCTCCAGGCTCGGCGCTTGGAGACCGCGGGCTCGGGCAGCGCCACCACCCGCTACCCGTACAGCCGTACGGCACCTGCTCCACCGACACCCAGCGAGGATGGGCGCCCCAATGGCGTCCACTTCCCCTGAGGCAGCGACCAGGGCCCTCGGCCGGCTAGGGCTACCTGTCTCCTCCTGCTTTTCACTTTGGGCCTCAGCTGTGAGCAAGGAAGCGCAGAACAGGGAAAACCGAGAGCCACCTGACCAGGACCCATGTCATGGTGATTTCCAGGCAGAATTGGGAAAAACACTTTCTCTGCCTCCTGCTTATTTGGCTATTTTGCGTTCAAGTTTGATTCTCAATGAACGCATTTGACTCGGTGCTCTTAGTCAAGAAACTCGGCTGTCATCTTTGGCCTGTATGTCTTCACCATAAGCAAAGAGCTTAAAGTAAAAAACTGGATCGTGTACACATTGCAGGGTCCCTGCGCTGCTCATACAGTCTCGCCTCACTGCACACCCCTCCTCCCTGCAGGTGTCTTTCAGAAATGAAAGTTCTCAAGTAAGATGTTGAAGAATGTAAACCTATCTCTTGTCCCTTCCCTTAAAATACTCTTCCAAAATAAGATACCATATGGTGGTCTTAACAAAAATTTTTATACTGCAGGGCGCTTTCTCAATTATTTCAGCTTTAACAGCAAAGTAATGTTAACTGAAATTAAACAGACATTTACAGAAGTCACTTGAGGTAACTAATTCTAAGCTGGGCAGGGTATTACGTGCCTGAGATCACAGCACTCAGGAGGCAGAGGTAGGAGGGTCTGAATGAATTGGAGGCCAGCCTGGTCTGCAGAGCAGCACTGTGCCTTGAAAAACAAAAATTTAAAAAGAAAGAAGAAAGGGAGGGAGGGAAAGAAGGAAGAGCTTTAAAAATTATTTAAGAGGAAGGCAGGGGAGCCACTGAGCCAAATCCCTGGGGAAGTGGGAAGGGTCGGGGAAAGGAAAGAAGGGAAAAGAAAAAATGTGAGAAAAGGAAAAAATGGAAACAGAGTCTTCGTAAATAGGGGAGGTGGAGGGGGTGAAGGGAGGGCAGGGGAATGGGGAAATATAAGAACCAAGATCTGCCATGTAAAGAAAGGTACAAGATCCCAGTGATGAATGTAACTGTACTGTATACTTTAAAAGTACCAATAAACTCAACGGGAAAAAAAATTAGTCAAGGGACAAAAAAACTTAACAGATTTAGCTCAGTAAACTGAGTATTGAGAATAACTTTATGGTATATGGTTATAAAACAGAAACTATAAATAGAATCTCCAGTGTCAGCCTCTGACAAAATCAAACAATATTTTAACTCAAACAAATGAAGGGAAAGATCACGTCATATGGAAAACTTTCATAAGTGGTTCAAAAAGTTCTTCTAGGGATAAAAATTACACAAACACTGATGTAATATGCAAAGAATTTTAAGAAAAATTATCTCATGAAATGTAAGGATATAAACAAGAAATATTTCTATATCAATATATTATTTTATATAAAATGTTATACATAGACAAAGTTAACCCCAATCCTCTTTCCTATTATCTACCTTTTGTTTTGCTCTTAAACTTATTCATACTTTGGGTTTCCCATGTAAGAAAAACCATGCAACATTTAAGCTCGAGTGTCTGACTTACTTCACTTAACAATATGGTCTCAAGGTCTATATGGGGCTGAATGTTGAGAACACATACAGTTTACCTTTAATTCAGCAGGGATCTGTAGAAGCAAAACCAGCAAACAGCTTTGCTGACCAAAGGCCACAGAGAAAATTGGGGAAACTTTCCTGAACTTAAAACGCAGCCCATTAAAGGCATTAAACAATTCTGCCTACATGCTGTACATTCCTGAAAGACAACCGAAGGACAGGAAGCTAAGTGAATCATTTCAGGCTGCCACCAAGTCCCTGGAAATGGAGACGGAACTCGGGTGAGTTAACCCTAACCCCACTGCTGCCCACTCTGTACCTACCAACTGTGCCAGCACTCAGCCAAGGATCAGTGTGCATTTGTGGAGTCATTATTGAACAGCTACTTTCTCTAAAATAATTAGTAAATTAAATCCATAATTTCTTACCTGTTTCTTTTTTTAAATCCCTGTTTTGAGAATTTCTTAAAATACTGAAACATGAAAAATCATAATGGTGTAGGCATCTGTTTATCTAAGCCCATCTGACCAATAGGGA